TAAACAAACACTATTGATCCCCGAAATCCTTTGTAATACCAATGTTCACTTTGTCTGGTTTTGTTGCAGCATGCCCTATACATTAATAATTCAAAGAAATTTGATTGGTAAATAAATATTTGCACCGATATTTTTTTTATTCAAAATGGCTAGAAACCTGCAAAATTGCATAATCAAAATAGTGATTAATAATAGTAATGTTAAGAGTTTTACACAAGTGTCCAACCATTTTTTGCAATTGAGATTTCCAAATGCATATTTTTTTCATCTTGTGTTGCAAATTGCATCTTGCGTCAACGTGTCAAATTTATGATTGGTGATGCAATGTTCAATTTTCTAGATTTTTAATTGTGTCTGATGCAATTTAATAATTTTGACCACATGTATAGTATGCATTGATCAAATCACAAACTTCTTTTATTTTATATTTTTTTATAATGTCTTATACAACAAAAAAAAGAAGTAAAGAAAAAGGCATTGCTGAGGATTGAGGGTAAGTGTTTTAAGGATGGTGGTGGTGGTTATTGCCACTTGATGTCACTCTAGTTATTTAAAAGAATGGTGATGGTGATTCAATCATTGCAACTTGTCATCATTCTAGTTTATTGAAGTTGAGAGCAATTTTGGTTTATATTTATTGACTTATATCATTTATTTTTTTAGTCATTCTCCATTAACACCTTTATTAGAATTAAATGATAAAAATTGTTAATAGTAAGTTCAGTTAAAAAAATAATCAATTAAAATATTTATATATATTTAGCAAAACTTTGGCTTTGCATTTGCTTCCACAAGACACATCATCTTCATCGGAATCCTTTTATAGTCTTCCATCATCATCCAATGATGATATAAATAAATTGGAAGAAGAAGCAATACAAACAATACAAAATAATAATGGTAGATGGTTTCTGAAATCGATGTGCACAGGACTCTATCTGAATGGCAAAGCAAAAATAATACATTATCTACCAAGTAAGGGGTTTTTTAAACATTATGAAATGAAAAATTATAGGCACTAATAAAAATTTACAGATTAGCATGGCATGATATAATTGATGTTACATCAACTTCAAGCAGTAGATTTATCCCATCATTACCAAGCATATCAATAGATGAAATAAAATCCTTTGGATCATCTCCTCCATTAAATATTAAATAATAATAATAATAATAATAAAAATTTACAGATTAGCATGGCATGATATAATTGATGTTACATCAACTTCAAGCAGTAGATTTATCCCATCATTACCAAGCATATCAATAGATGAAATAAAATCCTTTGGATCATCTCCTCCATTAAATATTATAACTGATTTAAGCTTGAAAAGTCATATTGTGAGACTTGTTAAGGTATTACTAATACAAAGTTACAACACTTAATGATAAGACATGAGAACATATATTATTTAATGTTAGAATGATGATAGTGATCTTTTAAATAATTAACTTGTTTTTACAATATATAAGGAAAAAGATTTTTGTAAAGCAATTGAAAACAATGCTATGAAGTTTGTGTGGGACTTTGGAAATCTTCTGTAAGAATGATTATTCTCATATTTGTGGCAAACATATCTTATATCTCACATTTTAATCTCTTTATTAGAGCAGACTCCTTTGAATGCAACAATGACCTTGCTGACCTTGAGTTGTCAGAATTTGGATATAGAGAATTTTTTCTCCATTAATCAGGAGTTTGTTTTGTGGAACACATAGTGAAGTGAAAATATATTTGTAAGGCACCAATGATTGAATTTGTTAGAAGTTGTTTACATTGTAGGTTTCTTTAATAAAGTACTGAAATAGGATTCTATTTAGTGGTGAAAATGGCTTGCTTGCCTCTTCTTAGGAATGTAATTTCATCAGGAAAATGGGTACAAATAGAGAATGTGAACAAAAGTTGACATAATCTGGAAATTGAATTTGACAAACTTGGAATTTGCCATTGGGGAAGTCTCTGGGCCACCAAATGTACTTGATAATACAGTCAGACCTCCATAAGTGCACCCTCCATACTCTGCACCGCGTGGTATTTTTTTGGTCCGCTCATATGAAAACTCTCTCCAATGCACCCCACGTGACCAATGTATAAAATTCATTGTGTAACTGGGATAAATTTAGAAATCATCAACATAAACTTTTGATTTAATTGGATAATTCCATATAACAATCCGAATTTCGTAAAGAAATTTTTAATCTTTTCTTTATTCACTATTTTCTTTCATCTCATAATTTATAACAAATAAAGGTTCAAAATTTTTGTTATTTTACAATTTTTGTAATTTATAATAAATTATATATTTTTATTTATTGCTTTGTATTTTTACAA